CGAATTCAATGGAACACATCCGTTTCCGTTTTCATTTAATGTCATTTTATTTGTCGAAGACAAATACTGTACAAAATAAAATGTGAACTGTATTAGACGCTACGGAGAGATAGTCAGTCTTGGTGTAAGCACATATAGAATTAATTATACTTAGTGTGATCTTGTTTAGTCACCAAAAAAGTGATCATCGAAATATTACAAGACGCATTTTGAAAGCATATGTACTCCGTTTGGAGTACATATCTCTTCTGTCCTTCTATATAAAGCGAAGTAATGTGTGTTTCATATGCCACTGTTATTGTAATATAATGATACAGATGTAAAGTATAGGAAGTTACGTGGCCTGGGGGTTGTAGGGGTGAGGTAATAGGGGTGGAATAAAGGCGAAAAAAGAGGGAGGTTATATACCTCGATCTTCTCATTATATCGTTTCATTTAACGTAAAAAATTGCCATCATTTTTTAAAAAATTAAGTGGATAGAAGGAGGGCTGTGAGAGAAATGCTATGCATTGGGTTATTCTGCAGGCTATAGCAGAGCAGCCGCTGCGGTCTGCGATGCGCAAGTTTCGGAAAATTGGAACGCCTTTAATCCGGAATATTGCTTAATTTAAATGAGCCCGAGTTATAAATTATTGAAATTATTTCTACAAAGAACGCAGGAAGAATGGGGAGGAGTAAGGAGAAAAAAAATCCCATCACAATCTATCTTTCGCGTTCGAAGAAGCTATTACTTTTTTTAAAGAAAGGTTTTCATTTTTCCGTGCTTTTCCGAGTTAATATCGTGTCTAACTTAAAATTTACTGCAACGAGCATTTGAGCCTATTTTAATGTATAGTCCATCCTAAAAATATGTCGATCCTTCCCTTGTTCGAATTATAACACGAGTTTATGTTTTCAATGAATAGTATTTTCTTTCTACGTGAATGTTTTTTTTTTACGGAGACAGGAGTGGGCGTCTTTCTACTCTAATCTCGAGTACGCAGTTTTCCAGATGCTTTCCTTATGATTTTGTTTACTTCGTTTGTTTTTATCTCAATTTATTTGTTATAAATGTATTTTGTAAAATTAATCGCAATGGACGGAGAACAGAAACAGGTTTCTCCTGTGTTATGTTAAGTGCGTAGGTCTCTTCCTCATGTCGAGAACTGTTTTTACATTTCGCAGGTTTTGTACGAGGAGTCTTTTTGATAAAATTTATAAATTTCGATTAAATATTTATGTAAGGTAGGGATTATATCGGGCAGGTAAGAATAAAAATTAGATTCGCCCGACATTCTTTACAATAGAGGGTCAGTACCAAATTTTATCCAAATCCGTCTATTATTTTCGTCGATGAAATTTATGGACGGACAGATAAGGGGTTTATTTCGAGCACTTTGTCCAAATCAGCTAATTTATACAACTTTAAGGTGCTGGGTTTCATGCTTTTATTCCATAGTGGTCACTGCGGTGAGAAGATGGCGTCTAACCACCTGAGCTTTGGCATAGCCCACCCCCAACTTTTCTATAATAGAACCTGAATATTCAGCGTCACGATTATAAAATCTAACATCCTTACAGTTTATTACTTATAGGTTTGTATTATTATTATTCTCGGCCTACCAAATTACACGGTGCTACAATCCGGAATACAGCCATATTCGTACTCACCGCCATGAGAGCTCCGAATCCTACGACGTGAGAAGTTATGAAATGTTCATGAAAGTGTATAGGCTTATGACAATTTCTGATAATTATGATATTATGTGGTTAGTAAATTGAAAGATAGTCATTGATTCTTCGTTATTTTGCATCCGTATTGTATGTTATGTGTTTTAGTAATGGCGCTAATGAGAATGTATCCCGTCTTCCTTAATGAAAAAGTGCTTCAAACGTACGTGACTTCTTTGTAACGAAGCTATTGCTGAGTTAGGACTTCATTTTTCTTCTCTTATATTGGACAATATCCACTGGTCCAGATGCGCTTAAAACTCTTCACCCTTCTCCTTCCCCCCCCCCCCCTGTGCCCTTCACCACCAATTGTTAACAGCGAAATATGCAGAGAATCTTAAATTTTTCCTCCTACTTTCATCTAGCCGATCTTTTGGAGTGTAAGTGACATCTGTGGAATATTTTGAGTAAACGTGCCTCGTTTGCAAACGGGGTAGTGTTCAAATGTAGGCGGGGGAAGAATAATAAGAATAAGAATATATAATAACCAGTTTTTACCGCGCTCTCGGCTGAAACAGGTGAGCAGTTCATTCCACTTCATTAATCGGAGAAAAATTGGTGCATGTGTTCCTGTCACACGTGTTTTGTGCTTGAATGAAAACTTTACGATTGTTACCCGAGTTTTACCGCAAAAGGTAGGCTGTTTTTTTTTTTATCTCAGGACGAACTGAGAGTAGTAACTGTTTTCAACAACATTGGCGTAAAGTTGAGGATGCTATACCGAACTAATGACCCTTTAAAATACATTTTCCGGTTCCTTAAACATGTTTCATTTAATACAGGCCTGCGATATAACTTTAGGGTATAGGATCTCATTATTATCTGGTATGGAAATATGGAATTTTTTTTCCCTTTAATATCCCCTTTCTGATTCCTAGAAAGATGTGATCAATTTTTCCCCCGCAGCTAAAATGTCTTTCAATTACAGGCAGCCTCGTCTTGGGGCGTGTTTCCTGCTATTATTTTACTTACAGATAAAATCGTATATTTACACGTACGTCTTGTGTAAATGAATAGTACTTTTTGCCTTAAATCTAGGAATGTTACATTTGAAATTAAACCAACAGAAATGTATGTTATTGATGAAGTGTTAAGAAAAGAAGCAGATGTTTAGACGTTTGGGTTGGGAAAATCTTGTCTGTCAGCGGCTTGTTGTGCTGGGATTTGACTTTACCTTTGTTTTAACAAGATATGAGGTAAACTTCTGTTCCGTACATCCCCCCTTTCACCCTCGACCCTCAACTAACATTGCCTATTCTCATATCAACTTAAAAAAATACGAACTTTTTAATCAATACGAACCGAGAATCTGATGAACTGAAACCAATTTTAAGTACAGACATTGCCATATAAAACTGGTGCTTGCATAAATGCCAACAATTCTTGTATTATTGTTTTATTTTTCCAAAAATCACATTGATACCGGTTTTATTACTCTGTGTAATTTAAAATTCAGTAACGCTCATTTCTTTTTTTAAAATATTCATGGATTACGAATGATTATCGGAATAAACAGCGAATATAAAATTAACAAATCAATCTTTGCGATGGAGACGCGTTATGATTTCTTTGAGAACGATATGATTTTTTAAATGTTACTTGGATGATAAACGCAGGGATAAGGTTACTGAGGCGAATATTTCGACCTAAAAGGAATGAGGTGACAGGAGGTTAAATAACATTTCAGACTGAAATATTATTAAAATGTCCAAATCTGGGAGAATGAAATGGGTGGGACATGTAGCATGCATGTTGAAATTGAAAAAATGCGTACAAAATATTGGAAGGGAAGTCTAAGGAGGAGAGACCAATCGAAAGAGATTTGTGAATTGTATTAGAATAGATTTTAGGGAGATTGCTTTTGAGTGGCGTGGATTGGATTTATCTTAGGATGGCGACCGGTGGCGGGTTATTTTGAGAATTGTATTGAACTTTTGGGTTTCATAAAGTGCTGAAAATTTCTTGACTAGCTGAGTAATAATCACCATCTCAAGAAAGACATTACTTTTCTTTTGTAATACTTTAAACGTACTTTTGGTCTAGACTTGTGTTTCCTTCCGTCCTATAGCTTCATAACTAGATCAGGTGGAGTGGAACGATGATTGTGAATTATGGGTACGGAAAGGTGTGAGATTAGGAGAAGGTGGCACGATTTAAGTTGGCAGTATCTTATCGTGTGCCTGGAATCACTGAGGAAAAGTACGGAAAACATAAATAAAAGTCGTCGAGGTTCGAACTTGGGACCGCCACACGTGGCTACGTTCTGCCCATCAAAAATTCTCGCTAATCTGAGGGGAGTCGTGTGCTCTTTGCTGAGAGGACTTTTACGATGAGTCTGGGAATTTCCTTAACTTCACATTCCGCCCCGGCCTTCCAGGCTGTGAAGACGTTAAACGTGCTGTTATGATTGAAAAAGAAAATCCAATACACTTTTGCTTTACTCTGCCATCTTTCCCATATCCGTGCCCGTTCCACCGTGAAATTATTAATATCCGAGGCCTCGAAAGTGTCTGTTCTGCAATTCATTGCATGCATTGATTGCTCGAGAGAAATAAAAACTTCTCGCCCCCTCAAACGAAGAAAGTTTTGTTGTGGGATGAAGAAAACTTGTGATACCATACATCCCTTCGTTTTATTATATTCAAACACGACACAATATGATTGTTATATATTATTATGTATTAAATGTGAAATTCGTATAATTTTAATTTCGCGATTTGTATTATACGTCATAAAATAGCTTCAATGAGCTATGCATTGTTATTAAAATAGATTTTATTTTCTAATAACAGACCTCATATAACATTACGTTTGCTCTACATTCGTTACCCATCTCGTACTCCATGCTTTCTAAACCCTAACAGAATTAGTGAAGAATAAAATAACTCATTCTGGTTTTAATTATTGCATTGTAATTAATGTATTTCCCCAGAATTGACACTCGGGTAAGTTAGGGACATAATTGTTTCCGTATTCAGAAGCATTTGAACGTTACACCACGCTTCCATAAATACAAGTAAATTACAAATGACTTAGATTATGACGCCAGCTGTACGCTTACATCACTTCCGGTTTGGAATTTAGAAAATCTTAAGCGATTGGCTTCTTTTTATGCGGAATGCAGAAGTGATGTTCACTCAATAAATTGATTGTGATTTTTCCTTGGGGTTGTACCCGTTTTAATTTCAAAATTCTTCGTACATAATGATTGCTTGTAGGTTTTAGCTCTAGGGACTGGACTGTGATCCGCGTCTATCCTGTACTGATTGGCCATTATGTTATTTTGCAGACTCTGATGCCAACAGATCCGCCATCTTTTGAAGTGGAACGCCTGACGGTGAATGGTATGACGTCCCAACTTGCCATAGTGGGGCCTAGAGGCGTCGCGGTGTTGGATCTGCCGAGACGCTGGGGCAAAGGAGCGAACTTTCAAGGTGGAAAACTCACCATCACCTGCAGGTAGGATACAGATTCACAGACAGTGTCTTGTGGTTTCCAGAATGTGGTTGGAGCATTAGGAACTTGCGACTAGAAGTTTGCTCAAGAACGGTGCCTTCTACCTATGTATTTTCTTGTCTGTCTGTTGTTTATCTGCCTGTTTATATATTTTCATGGCTATTCTACTGTATTTATTTATTTAAAAAATGCTTCATGTTTGTTAAGGAAGTTTGTCTGTGGCAGATCCTAGTCGTAATTGTGTGAAGAAACATATCTTACTAAAGAAAATATATATCGAGGGGGTAACACGTCAGAAGTATCTACTAGTCAGTGATATAATTCTGCATATATTTTAACTTATGAGATGATATTGTTGCGTCATATTGTGATGATTATAATTGTTTATTTTAACCGTCTAATCACAATAAAATATTTTATTAAATATTAAAATATTATTACTATAATTAACATTTGATATTTAAAATATTAAAATATTATTAGAGCTCTAATTGTAAATCGAACATTTAACTTATGTTTATTGTTTCGTTCGATTATGTAGTTTAACCTCTAAACTTCTCTTTTGTGCGACAACATTGGAAGATTGTGTTGACTTCCTGTCCGCACTATTTTAAATGCATGTATGGGCTTTGGATTAGGGTTTTAGGATTTTTTTTAGTGCGCTTGTCTTTATTTCTGAGAGGATTTCTCGAAACAAAAGTACTTACTGCCTAGTAATTTTACTTTATATCATAGCTCGTGTGAATATTTTGAAGTTGGTAGCTTAGTAAGCCTCCCCCCCTCCCCATCCTAGCTGTACGTTGTACAGTTAAGTTGGGCTTTTGCTTTTCAACACATTAAAACAATATTATAAGTCCAATAATAGCTATTATGGTTGTAAAGTAATCCAACAAGTTTCCGGTTTGTTTTGGTGCTGGTATTTGGGCTCACATTTTGCAACTCTGACTACAGCAGTTTCCTTTTCTCGAATACAAATAAGGACGTATTCCGCAGTTGTCTAATCACAATTACATTTTTAAAACCAATTGCTCCGTCATTTTCTCATATAC